TGCATTTTCTCTTGATTAGGCTGACAGGAACTGAAGTTGAAAATGTTAAAACCCGGCTTTAGCTTTCCGTGTTGCACTTAGGCTGCACTCATTTATTAGAGTCCCTTTCTTTGTGCTTCTGTAGGCCAGATGATGGCTGGGACTGTCTGCAAAAGTGCATCGGGCGTCCTACAAGGGCTGACAGCTGACATAGCTGTCCAAGCCCGATCATAACATGATTTTATGAGTAGCAGGTGAATATACATTAGAAACAATGTTGGTGCATAAAAGACTGGTTACTGCAAAAGAGGAATCTACAAGGAAGTTAGGATCTACATCTCAAAACAGAGGAAAGACAAAATACACTGCTTTGTGTTGCAGGCTTTGTTCCATTCAGCTTTTACAATGAATTTCTCTTTCCATAAGAAGTTATCGTGCTGGGCAGGGAAAATCAGGATCCCTGCCTGTCTATAACTGCTAGAAATTATAATGTTAAAAAAAAAAAAAAAGGGGGGGGGGGGGGTGGAAATTCCAGAAATGTAATTCGATCAGGTGTGGTCAAAAGCAAGGTCTCAGAGAAAGCCCTTGGGTCAATTTAACACAAAATAGAAGGGCTACAGAGTTTGGAAGTCTCCCTGCAACTTAAATTACAGACAGTTTCCAGGAGATTCCTTAATAAAATTTGTCTGGGGAGAAAATATTGGTGTCAGTGAGGGGAAAAATCTGATTCACGGAAAATGGAAAAGAGAAAGGCAGCTTCAACCAGGAGTTAGTCATCAATCTATTTGTTGGACAGAGTCTTGGCAAAACCCATTCTCTTGGTAGAACTTGCCTGGAGTAGACTGGATTGATTTGACAGTCTCTTAGCCTAATAAATGCTTGACCTCAAGGTCTGCTGAATTCACTAAATTCACTATGCAGAGAGAATTGGGAACCAATCACCTCTGGGGAACATCCTGTTCTGCAGCCCTCCCCTGATAAAGGCCTTGACTGCTTTCAGCCTTATCGAGATGACTAGATGAAAGCTGCTCTCAGAAGAAGAAAGGTTAATCGACTACGCTGCTGTTAATCAATCACTTGGAAGGATTCAGCACTTACAATAGGTAGGTCCCTCTTCCTGCCAAGAGGTTCTTGCATGTTAACCAGGGACCATCTCCTCCAGTTTGAAGGATGAGGAACAGACAGAAACACAATCCAGACAGATGCCAGGTTTCTGATCCAAAGCCAGCTGAAGTCAATAGAAAGACTCCCAGTGAGTTCAATGGGCTTGGATCAGACCCCGGAGAAAGACTTATTATCCAGGGTTTATTCTGCATACAGATATCGAGCTACTTTTAGTAGGGAAGGATCCTCGAAAAGAAGCAGATTCATCCCACTTTTGCCTCCCTCTGAAATCAAACTTCTTCAAAACATACTGTGTCCCATTTACCCTGACTGTCAGATGCGGCTGACATCCAGCAAGGGAAAATTACCTGCCTGTGACAGCACGGACAGGCGTGTATACATTTCAAAACCTTGGAAGAGCACAGAAAGAAAAAATGCTGAGCTGCTGGTGTTTTCCTGGCCTCTTCGCAACGGTCGCAAGCCAAAATGATAGCTTTCTCAGACGAGGAAAAGCTAGATCCATTTCTGAAGGGATGAAGGAAAATTGAGGGAACAAAATTAAAAGATCAGCTCAGTGCTGAACAACCGGCTGTACACAAGGTGAAGCTCGCTCATCCAGAGAGAAAAAAAAATACAAGAGAAAATGCACACCTAGAAAGTACCCCTGAAGATCAGGTACTTCTCCAAATTAACAGCTGTATTCAGCACCACATCAACTGATGACAAAGCAGTGACTATCCCTGATGCTTGCCTAAATGCAAGTAGAGAGTCCCAGCCTGTTGATACAAACCCAGGCCCCGTATCCCAGTGCAAAACCACTGATTACACACCCGCTGCACCACACAGCCAAAAGCCCTACAGCAAACAGTTGAAACCAAAGATACACACCTTTAGGACACCTACAGCTACACGTACCAGTTTATTGTTTATTACAGAGCCTGGTATGGGCTTCTGCTTCTTCAAGGCGAAGGTGTTGCTTCTGGTATTTTCTGACTACAAGCCTTACCCCAGGCAGACTCCTGGCTGAACTTACCAGCCTTTATTCATCTGGCTCTGTCTGCTGCCAGAAGGCTTCAGGCTGCTCAAATCCTGCAACAAAGCTGCTGGCTTAAAAATTTTGCATTAGGAATAACCGAGGTTTCACTAGAGGCAGATACCTAAAGTGGAGAATGACAGACTGGCACCTCGGACTGGACCTGTCCTAGTTTGTGAAGAGGCAGCAGGTCCTTCAGAAGGCTGGAGAACAATGCAGATGCAGCAGCTGTTCTCTGCTCATCTGGAAGTTCATGGTACTGCAAAGCATCCCAGGCAATGGATCTTTCCTCCTTATGCAGTGACAACAAGCAGCAGATCAGCAGAAGAGAACAACCCAAGGTGCACTATATCTATGATTTCTGTGTGCTCCAAGAAAACACTTCATCTGAGGAAGGACAGCCACCTTAAATGTACCCATGTTCTTTGCCAGTAAAAAGCTGTGGTTGCCAAAACCAGTTCCCTAGTCTTCCCACTGCTGGCTGAAAAAAACCCCACAAGACAGATCCTACATCTACATCCAAAAGGATGGACTTGTCTCCCTTTGGCTCAATCGATAAAATAACCAGCCCTGCAAGCAAAGCAGGGCAGTTGTCACTAACGAGTGAAGGTGCCCATCTATTCCATCAGGAAACCTGACAAGGAACTCCTCATACAAAAGAAGAACCAGGTTTAAGAGTTACAGCAGCTTCTTTCCTAGAAAAGACTTTGGTATAGCAGCCTTACAAATCTGGAAGTCCATAGTTAGGTGTAACGCATCAAAATACACAAGCAGCAGTCCTCCAAGTAGCACTCTGCTGTAAGAGCCCAGAACTTGTTGTCTATACCCTTTGTATCAAAATAATGCCTAAAGTTAACAACTTGCTGACATCAACGGGAATACTCTGTGGCTTTCCAGGTCCCGTTTCATGGTACTGCAGGTGCAGATTCAAGAAAACAATGCCTTATCTTCTCCTGCTTGAAACTGGATTTTCACAGCCATAACTTTTCTTTTTGAAGATTCTGTTATCATACACGTAACTGTACCGCGGCAGTACCAGCAGGTCCTGCTGTGTTTGCCATTCTGCTGGCACACACCAAACCACACTCCCCTGCAGTTCTCTTGCCAGCGGTGGATCCCACTGTAGCCACAAAAATAAGAAGAGATCCAGATAAAAGGTGATCTATTTCAGCTACGACTGTTCATTTCTTAACCCACAGTGGATGAGCACAAGGCACCTGCAGCTCAGCCCTAATGACCAAGTGAGGAAGTACAAAGGCTACTGCCTGATCGATTCCTCCTCATGTCACCTGGAACAGCATCCTACAAGGCTCAACTGCACCAACTTGGTTGTCCTGAATCATAACATCTGAAGACAAAGCCTCTTCTGTCTAAAAGGAACGGAAAGATGGATGGCAGAGAAACGGAAGAAGTCTGAGTGCTTTATCGATCCAACTGACATGCTATGAATGGTAAGCAATAAAAATTTATTGAGAGATAGAAAAGTTCTTACTTAGCCTTATCCCTGCCCCCCAAATTGGTAATGCCCCAGAAAAATGCAAAATTCCCTTATACCACATATTTAAAAATCTTGCAATTTTATTTGCATATAAAGGCTGCTAGATATAATATCACAATAAATTTAAAGAAACAACTGCTTTTCTAAATTCCATTAACAAGGTAACATAAACCAGAACAAAGCTCAATAGCATTTACAGTGGTAGAACAGAAATAACTATCTGCAACAATATTTTGTGCTAGCGAGATTGCATTTACACACAGTGCAAAATAAGAAAAAGGAAATAAAAAGACAAGAAGAATATTTAAATATAAAGGACAACTAAGCCTTATTTTACTTAGGCTTGATTGTATCCATTTGACTCTATACATGCCTGAACTACGACAAAGATTTAACTCGGGCTCTTGAAGGCCTTGAGCACTTGGAAAATGTGTCACATCCTTCATAATTTAGATGTGCTGTACAGCATAATTTTGCAGATGCTATACTGGCAATATTAAATCCTAGCTTAGTTATAATGCACAAAAAATACATATATATATAAATTCATATTTAAAAGGAGTCCGCATTTACATTTTTTTTTTTTTACTGCATGAAATACCTGCTCTTTGCAGCTTTCACCCCCAGTCTTTTAAAGCTAAAATAATTTAAAAACAAACAATAAAAGGTAGATATCACATACAGGCTGTGGCTATCTATATCAATCTTTAACGTATAAAGCAGGTAGAGACAAACAACCGAGAAGTCTATTTTCCCCTTGCTGCATTCTACTGTTAATAGAAACAAGTTTCAGGTACACGCACACATATCAAGAGGTAAATAGACCCCAAAATATTGTTTGTGCTACTAAAAAAAATTTCTACAAATGCAGATAAAAAGCTAACATTTAGGCCTAGGGAAAAAGAAGACACTTAAAAAAACCCCGACAATAACATAAGTTGTGCAAATTTGGGTGTTTTTAAATGCTGCCTATATTTTAGCTTATAATACAATATTAAAATAAGGTCTCTCACTTATTAAAAGAAAGCTTGGCTGTCCTTTTGAGAACACTATAACAATTTACAATGGCAAATTTATTGAAAAAACAAGATTAATATTACAAATCCACGATGCTTTCTCAATTTAAAATGAATGCTGCATTTCCAAAAAGCACAACCTCTAACTTTTCCTCTTGTTCCTTTTGTACCAGCAATTTACAAAAAAAAAAAAAAAACAAACCCAGCAAAACAAAAAATACCCTAAAACCCACCCCAAAACAAAACCCCCACAGTTCCCCCAAATTCTCCCCCCTCCCAGTTTGAAATAAACATGTAACAGAATGTAAGTTTTATAACTAGAAAATGGCAGTTTATAGACCTTCCCCAGTTCCAAATGTGCAGTAGTGCTTCATGATCCTTGAGGGGTTGGAAGGTCAAATATAATTGGAGGGTTGGTTGGTTGAAAGCTGACTGTACACGTTGAAGCATTGATGTACGTTGTGTAACCGTCTGTCATAATGCCATAACCTGTAGGGAGAGTGGGTCACACTTACTGTAATATAAACAAACGATACTGCCCGTGGGCAGCTGCGCTGAAAGCTTGTTGCGGGATCAATGCTTTGGAAGAAAATTAAATTAATCCCTTCAAAATGATACAAGCTCTTGAAAGCTGCCATAAAGGCTTGATTGAAAAAAAAATTCAATGAACTGTATTTGAAACAAGAACTCATGCTTTTGTTTTATGTACAAACTTTTTTCCCCATGGAAAATCTTCTGTTGCCATTGGATTCAGCAGAAACAGGGACAAAAATCACACATGTATTTCTTCTAATTACTTAATTATCAAGTTCTAGTTTGCATGCCTGTAATGTTTGCCACAAGAAAAAGACCAATCAGGAGGCAAATGATTTAGATGTAACTTTGGCTTCACCTATAAAAACCCCTCTCTGGGCAACGAACTGAACCTGGTGAGTTTTGCCCATGTTAGCCCTTATCATCCAGCTCCTCCTCACAGGACTGCCAAGCTGGTGTTCACACTGGCTTGTGAAACCTCAGAAACCTCTTTGCAGGTTAAAAATATACATACATACATACACACACACACATATATATATATAACATGTATGTTATCTACCAGTGAAAATCATGACTAAGGCAAGGAATCTGCTGCTATAAACCCAACAGAGCACTGGAGGTCAGTGGATGACCCCCAGATTAAGCAGAAAATTGAGGTGAAGGTTAAATAGATGACTGCTTTTCATTACAAAGGGATCTTGACCATAGAATCACAGAATGGTTTGGGTTGGAAGGGACCTTAAAGATCATCAAGCTCCACCCCCCTGCAGGGACACCTCCCACTAGCCCAGGTTGCTCAAAGCCTCATCCAGCCTGGCCTTGAACCTCTACAGGGATGGGGCATCCACAGCTTCTCTGGGCAACCTGAGACAGTGTCTCACCACCCTCACAGGAAAAAAAATTTCTCTTTATATCTAATCTAAATCTCCCTCTTTCATCTTAAAACTGTTACCCCTCATCCTATCACTACACTCCCTGATCAAGAGTGCCTCCCCATCTCTCTTGATAACTTGTTCCCAAACAATAAAGCAAGAAAGAAGTGGATATTAATCAGAGGCTTTTCAGCATGCCAAGAACCTGACCCCTCAGTAACACTATGGCATCAGTTTCAGGATGCCGAAGACTGTTCCTGCGCAAAAGGCGAGAGAAAGCTTTGCCATTGTTTCCAACTGACATCCACAAAAAGCTAACAAAGAAGCTAGAAAAAAAAAATCCAGGAAGAATTCAACACCAAATGTTAAAAAACAAAACCAAAAAAACAAACAACCAAAACCAACAGAGTTTCATGGAGGAAGAGAACTTGCCATCACGCACCCACAGGGGAAAAATGTTTTTCTTTTAAACCATTATGATACAGTACAGATCACTGCTGCCTGAAAGCTAAGATAAATACAGCTACCCACAGTGTCTATCAGAAAGAATAATCACTTCAGAATTGCTTCAGTGTCCACCTGTATTATTGTATTTATTTAGACTGGCAATTTTGATTTAGATCATCTCATGGTGGGAAAAACCTTGTTTGTAGTTGTTCTTGCTTATCAACCAGGAAAAAACCTCCATCACCAAAATATGTGTACAGCTTCTGTTGCTTTAACGGAATGTGGTGCATGTTCATCTCAGCTGGAGTTGGATGAGAATTAATTGCACTGTAAGATAATGCTCTTAACACTTGCCTACTTCTTTTTGTACCGAAACAAGCGGTTCTTATGTCTTCTGCATAAGTACTAAACAGGATTTAAAATTTTTTGTTAGTATTCTTGTAAGAGTGTATTTGAATGTTCACTTTTAGTATCTGCTTCCACCTTTCCTTTGAGATATAAATACAAGGTGCTGCATGTGGTTCCTTGGTTCGTTCTTATAATAACGATCTTGCACATTAAAATACCTTCCTCTCCCATTACTTAACACTATTTAAAACTTTCATCATCCAACGTGCCTATGAAGGCTGTAGACAATTTACATGTTTTAGCTGGAAGCCTTGCTGTACTAGCTTATTCTTAATATGTAAAGAGTAATATTTACACAAAATATCCAGTCTTTCCCTGGGTGCATTAAAAGACTGCTATTCATGCCACTACACTTAAGGTCATGTCAGTATTTCCATTACAAATTCTTTATTTACAGATACCAGGCATAAAACTCATTGCATGAAGTCACAAGGGCTTCAGAAAAAACAACAACACTAGTTCAGAAGGCTGTCCTTTTTTGTTTTTTCTTTTATGAAGTCCTCCAAATCTTTAAGCCTATGGAGAACCTAATTAGAGTCAACGGAGAAACCTCCAGGGGGTACAATATAAAGCATTTAATGTGTAATTTTGAGTTCTAGGGTCACATGGTGTTATGCTCTCTCTCAGGCAGAACTCCTAGTGTTTGTCTCTCGGCCACATGAAAGCTACAAAATTGTATTAAATATTTAAGCATCTCCAAAATGGATTTAATCTCTCAGTCTTTTCCACTGCCGCTAACTGAGCTTACTGTTTCTGAAGCTTCACACTCTGCCTCATGATGGTTGGGAAATATCTCTTCCAAAATATGAGACTTTGGGAAGGCAGCGTACACAGTACAAACTGTGTTACAGGCTGCTTTTAGAAATGAATGCAAAGTGAGTTCTGGCAATCTCTGCTCCTGACGTCTAACTCAGGATGCCCTCCTTTCTGATTTTCCTTCTATGTTGAGAAAGATGAGCCGAGACAGTAAGTTGTCTTTGACTTTCTTTTTTTCTAGCACCTTTCTTGGCTCCTGTGCTTGGAATAATGGGGATAACTTTCATTTTGGCTTGCAAGTGTGGGGAATCTCATCTGTTTCTCTAACCAAGTTTGTCAAAATTTGAATTGCTTTCAAATAACCTGTACAGAACAACCTTTGCACAGTGAAAGATGTAGGTGGCTAAATGTAGCACACGCTCCTGAAACAGTCTGTTTTAATTCTGGCATAAATTTACAGAGTGCTGTGCATGCCATTGCTCCTCTCAATTCCCTCCCTACTTGAGTCCAATATGCCGTCATCCATCCTTTGCAATGCACCACTGAAACACGCTCCTCTGAAAGCAGCCTGAGCTCCAAGAGAGGAGTAGTGCTGCTCCTTACCTTCATGGATCCCACCAAAGACGTGGAGTTTGGGCCTTACTCGCCTCTGCACCGTGTTCAACAGTTCCACACAACCCACTCTCTGCAGCTCCTTTGGAACCCAGTCTCGAAAACCTGCAGCCAAAACGCAATCGATGCTATTAATTTTTGCTATTCAGGTAAGGTTTCGCGTAGTCTTTCAGGAAGTCATAATTCACGGAAGGTTTATTACATTATCTGTAGTCGTAACCTCTCCATTAAAGCACACAATGGCTTTTAAGAAATGTTTCACTGTCACTTTGTCTTCCTTAAGATTTCCTCCCTCCATCTGCATTAATATTTCTCTGGATGTGATTTGGTTTTTTAAACTATGGGTTTAAACTCATCTTACACCTTGAAACCCTGGACATTTATTCCCGGCACTGCCGTAGATTTTTCTTCCCTTTCCCCTGGCTCTTACAGCAGTCAGCTTCCCAAGCCAGGTAGGTGGCTACTCCAGAAATGAAGATCGGCTGATCTACGACCTGATACCTCTGCCACCCCAAAGATTTAAAATACAGTCTCCCACAACTTCCAGAGGACCACAGTCTGCAAATGTCAGGTTACTTCTGAGCCCCCGGTCACCAACAACAAGCAATGGAGCAAAATAGCTTCCAATAAGTTAGTGCTAATTGCCCACGTTGCCACTCAGTCCTACGGATAATATGGAAAAACGCACAAAGCTTGACAGCAGTTATTACAGAAGTCTGCTGCCTGGACTGGCACTGATCAGGATCAGCAGGGCAAGAAGAATAAGGAGCAGAAGGGAAATCAGGAGCCACATCCAACTGCAGCACCGTTCTCCTGACTTTAAAGTAATTACACCTTGTGCCAGGTAGTAAGAACATGTTGTGACATGAACTTGACTGAATTTTGGAGAGAACAAAGAGTCCAATTACAGCTCTACCTCCCTTAATATTTATGTAATTTTAAAAGCAGCATTTTGTCAATATGATCATGCAGGCTGAGACCTAGACCCCCTCCTTCTAGGCACAGTATTAGCACCCAATCTGTGTCTGTAGTTAAACTACAGTGCCAACCTTTTGAAACTGAACTTCATTATCTCTATCAAAACGAAACTTTAAGTATGCTTATTCAATTACAGCACTCATTAGTGTCTGCAGCGTCGCAGTATTTCTAGATGAACCCAATTCACAGCAGATGGATTAGTAACCAATTTAAAACAGCACCCATGAAACATTATAAACATTCTTGTGGGTTTTTTTTGCTTCTTTGGGAAAATAAACAGATTAAAAGAGTGCTATTCACAGCACTGCAATATCCGGCACGCTCCGCTGCCAGGGGATGGTGTATCTCTGCTTCATCAACCCAGCATGCTGGTAGCTCCAGTAAGATTACAGAGAGAATTTGCAGATCATCTTACAACTTTCTCTAAGTAGTATTACAAGAGTAACCAGGATATAAAAGGAGAAGTAAGTACATTACTGGTCGAAAATTTTCTGGACTTTTTTTCTTCCTTAGCTCTGCTTAGACTGCTGACTCTTCACTTAACTGCGGTACAAAACATAAGCAAGCTTTAATTCCTGACTCCGCAGTCACTGAGAAGCTCTGCGAGAGCACTGAGCCAGCCTGGTAGCACTTAAATGCTGCTTTATAATGGCACTCTGCAATTCTGGGAAGTTTTTTTTATATTCACTGCCATCTCCAAAGTCAGTGACTTCCCATGATCACGCGATAATCTGACCCCTGGATTTCAAGAGCTCACTAAAACCCTGACAAAATCACAGTCTGATAACAATAACAGTGACGAAGAAGAGACTGGCACCCTTCCTTATCCTGATAAGCCACATTTATAAAAGGCAGATGCTCAGTTGTAAAACCAACTGAAATATTTAAAATATGGTCCTAGGCCACTTGCCACACGTGTCTTAAAGAAAAGCAGTAAATAATACGTGATACTGTCTTGTGGTGTGCAGGATAGGGAGAAGATAGAATTTTCCAGTGGTTTTAGTGTGGCTTCAGTCATTGCCAAAACTGTGTACTCCTGCCTCTGCTGAATGATCATCTTAGTGTCTTTTTGAGACCATCAGAACTTAGTTTATAACTTAGAATTCAAATGGGGATTGGTGAATTACTCATATTTACAAGGCAAGCAAAATTTAACTAAATGAAAAACTTCCACTACTTCATAAAAAAAAAAACAAAGCATGCATTCATAGACTTGTGCTCACCTGTCATTATTTCAAGTAAGGAACAATTATCTGAGAACATAATTTTATTCCTCCACAAATTTGCTAGAAGCCAATTATTATCTTTATAACTACTGTTACATATTCTAAGTTTACAAGGACATTATCAAGGAGAATATGTGACTACATACTCCTGAACTCTTGATCACATGCTCTAAAGCCTTAAGGAAACACATAATTCTAGTGGAAAAATGTTTTAAAAGTTTTAGTCAATCTCTGAAAAACCATATGGGATTGGAAACTGTCAGATGAATACTGTTCTTTAATAAAATGTCAAACTATAATAGTTATGGAGTCAGATAATTGATCTTCCCTAGCTTAAATTTAACAAAAAAATTTTTTTATTAAGAAAACACCTGGAAACTCCAGATCTGCTAAACCTAATCATCACTTCTTCCAAAAAGCTTTTAAAATTCCTAGTTTTGAGTTAGGGTGTGATTACAGTATAGCTTATAGCATTACTAATTTTGCTTATTTTGAAAGTAGAATTCTCATGCAAAAAAATCACGCACAGCTTTTGTTTCACTTACCAAGGGGAGGTCCATGTGTCATTAGTATATCAATTCCCTCAGGAATAAGGTTCCACTTGTCTAGCAAAGACTGACCTCTGGGTAGGTTAAAGCCCCATCCATTAAACCACGGTGTCCTTTGGGGAGGAAAATAAGATGAACTGCATCAGTGTAAAATAAAGATCTCTTCCCTTCTCCAATTTTTCTGAACTAAAATAATTTCTGTACTTCAGAGGCTACTTGCAGACAGTCTTTCTGAAGGGGATGTTGCTAAACCAGACTGGTTCAAATACATACATACACACACTAATCCATACGTTTGAATTTAGATTAATATCCTATGCTCTTTCTGTACAAGAGTATTCAGCCCCAGGGGCATTTATCCACCAGAGAGAAGGGAAAAAAGTTAAAATAACACAGACTAAATCTAAAGCTTTTTTCCCCAAGTTTGGGGATGTAAGAACTCCTTCTTTATGTTATGCACTAAACCAAACAAATATCTCAAAAGCTTTTGGAGGCAAGACAATTTCTCAGAGCACAAGGCAGCTAGTGGGTAGCAGCTCAAGGGGAAGGCTGCATGATGCTGTGGGTATAAACACCATCCTACAATATTCCGCTAAACTCAAACTGGCTCCTTTTAGCACTTCTGATATCAGAACAGTGTCACATAACCTGGCTTTGAACTCCTGAGCCTTGTAGATGTCTTGATCACACAATGTTCAGCCTCACATTAAGTTTTTAAAGAGATCTTATAATTTAAAATTCATTTAGTATTTCTTAAGGAAAACAGAGATCCTCAGCCTCCTCCACTGTAGCATAGCATTGTTCGGAGACACTGAATGCAGGCATGCAGTAAGGAAAAGCAGACCTTCCAGGAGTATTTTCCCAATGTGTAACAGCCAAACTGAATCATTTTGCTGCAGGTATATTGTAATAAAGCCTTTCCTTATCAGGTAGGTACACAAAGAATTGTTCTGAAGAGATACTATTTATACCTGTTACTAATAACTTTTTATACAGCTGCTACTACCGTACTAATTTTAAGAGTTTTCATCCCTTTGTGTGCTTCCTAGAGCTCAGGCAACAGATTTAGACTGATTGGCTTCATTTTCTAGATAGGATACCCCTGTCCTAGCCCTAGTCATTTGGGGGCATCTTTCCGAGAGTTCAAGCTACTCCTGCTGTCTTCTGTGTACTGCAGTTCTGAAAATAAAAAATAAAAACTGAGGGAAAAAAAACCTAACCACAAACCAACCTTAAAGAAAAGCATACCTGTTAAAAAGAGAGAGATCATTAAGAGTCCTACAAAATTTCATTACACAATCTGCCTCCTGCATCCTCTAAATTATGCATTTTCAGCCTCGAATCTGCATTTAAGTGGAAATTTC